CCTTGAAAGCCTTGAACGTGTCACAGTTGCATTTTTGTACAAGATGGTGAAATAAACTGTCCTTTTCACACCTTCTCATGGTTGTTCTGTGCTGTTGAAGTAGGTTTAATAGGACAAGGCATTGTTTAAAATCACATTCATCCAGATTCTGAATTTCTTTGATTTGATTTCCACTTAATGTAAATGATTAAATAGAAAAATAATGCACAGAATTTTTGAGAAGATTGTTAAACTCAAGTTTACATCAGCAGCCAAACAATGTGGCGTCTTTGCATATGCAGTGTTCAGGAGATATGACACATTTCATTTTCCCTCCAGAAGATGGCATCACAGGATCATCAGGTAATGGTGTTTCCTGGACTTATGTTTGTGTATATTTGGAAGGGACAAAGCATATTAATTGACATGAGTGCTTAAATTTGTCATATAAATATTCCAGATTTAGCCATACATGTTAATTTTCATCTGCAGTCAATGGAGTAGGACAGAGGTAGTAACAAGACAGTCATACAAGAAACATCTGAGTATTTGCACATTCATGTATTTTCATGTATTTATAGCAAACAAATACAAACATTTTTGTCTGGTTTGGAATTATGCCTTTAAAAGCTGATGTGCCGCACGGTTCTGCAGACATAATTTTAGATATTTTGGCCCTGTACTGCTATGGTAATGAGCTTTCTCCAGGAGGAAGGAACAGAGTGATCATCCCTACTTGTAAATAATAATCATTCTGGTCTACAGCTGTCTCACATTGAGAAAAATGGGACAAGGCTTTAGTAAAGATGACTTAAGCCACCAATAGCAGTGCTTTGCTTAACATGTAAGTGACTATGGAGAGGAAAGTAGGCTTACTAGCCGCATTAAATTGCACTGAAATGAAGATGTGCCAAAGTAGCAAAACTCCGTCCTTTTCTTAACAAATGTTGCAGTGGATCATTTTCCTTTTATTTACAAGCTGGTATATTAGATAGCACCTTTCTCTGTAATCATCTCATCTTTGTCACATTATGGAAGAAGTCCTGGGACTTCAGACAACTCCTGAGCCTGAGAGTAAATCTATTTCCTTTTATGAACAACAACATGTATTTTCCATCTTCACAACAGTGAACTTTCTATACGAGAGGTTACTTTCATCTTTAAGGAAGATGAGGATATTGGTAAGTAATTGCAGACTTTTTAGCAGGGACATTGTTTTTTTGAGGCTCAGTAAAATAAAGATACTTTGCAGACATATACACAGTACATCAGCGTTTTTACTTTCATGTTTTCTGTATCTCTGAGTGAGGGCTGCTCACACCCTGGGTTAGAAATCCCTTTTTATAGCAACCAAGTACATACAGTATTTTATTTATTTATAGTTCAGCTACTTCTCTGTAAAACATGTAATGGCCTTTGCAAGGCCGTATTTTTAATGCTAAAGGCACACAAAGATACTGATGCATATTTTCAGATCTACATGTTTAGATTGATCCATTTATGATTCCCTGATATCGTGAATAAGGCTCTTGTACCCTGCTAACTCACATAATAAGGTACATTTTTATGCAGTTAGCTAAAAACATGCTACACATGCTATTACGCAAATATTAAAAAAATACCTGAGAAGACAATCTAATTGATATGCAGTATATTATCAGTATAAAAACATTAATCATCAAATTACGGCCCTTTAATTCTAGAGTTGTGCCACCTGTGTCGGTTCTTGTGTTTGTGTCATGCTTTATGTCCTGAGGCGTTTGCTTTGTTTGGTTTGTTGAGGAGACCCTTGACGGCTTCCTTTGCTGTGTAGCACGCCACTGTGCCCGTTTTCATTGGTCAGCAGCTTCACATAAAAATTGTAAAGAAATAAAGTCAAAATGAAAACCGGTGACAGCAAAATCATGAACACTTTCATTAAAAAAATATTTTTTGATAATCAGCAAAGTCAAACTTACTTTCCTTTTATTGCTTTCATTTTCTACAGTTAGTGTGTTGTTCAGCTTCAGGTCCAATGCTTCCTCCAGTTCTGGAAACAAACATAATAAAACACACTGTATGATTAAGAGTTTACTTACACACTTTGACCCTTTCTAGTAGTACACAAGCCACAAAGGGGGGGGGGGAATGAAATACCTGTGAGAATGACATCAATTTTCTCCACGACCAGCTCAGCATCTTCTGTAGTGAAGCACATTGGGGGCTTAAACTTGAGCACGTTGCGATGAGGTCCGTCAGCACTGAGAAGAATGTACTGCTCCTTTAGCCTGGGAGAAGTTATCAACCTTTTAGCACTCTGTTGCTGTTGACTGCACATATTCTCACTCAAAGCAGTAGAATAGAAATCAAGTGAAAACAAAAGTGAACTGTTCATTCATACATCTTCTTAACCACTTCTCCAGCTTAGGGTTGTTTGAGGGGGATCACCAGACGGACAGAGAACCACACACCCTCAGTCTCATAGGCACACCTATTGCTATTTAACCTACTGAGCATGTCTCTGGACTATGGAAAGAAGCCAAACCAGCTGGAGTGAAACCAAACAAGGCACAGGGAAAAGATGCACAGTCCAC